CACGGTGGGACACACACACACACACACACACACACACACACACACACACACACGATTTCCTGCCCCGAGGCCGCCATCTGCTCTGGGGCCAGGGCGTGTCCCCTGCTCCTGTCCCTGCTTGCTCAGATGGCCTTGCTCTAGGGCCAGTGTCGCATGGGGTCGGAGTAGCCAATCAGATACCGTCTTGGTGATCCCTGCTCTATAGGTGTTTCCTGAGAAGCTGAGATATTAGCTAACAGTGTGTCTTTTCTGGTTCTTAAAGAAGAGAGTTTTCAAATTAATTTTAAAACAAGATTCACACGGCAGTGGGACTTGACCCCCTTTCTGTCTTAACCTCTCCATGGAGATGTAACGGAACTAGCTTAACACTCTCGGGTGGGGCCAGGTGAGTTTGAGGGTCTTAGGTGTGGAATTTAGAGAAGGGTGGGCCCCAGGGAAGGCCCAGCCGGCTTTTATGAGGGCCACAGACACAGGGACCTGTGTTAGAGGTTGGGAGGCAAGGTACACTGAGGCAAGCCCGGAGTCCACGCCAGGCATCACCAAGGATTTGGAGAACCCAACCCAGTGTCCCTGTGGCTCTGGCTTCCTCCGTCCCTGCCTGGGGCAGCTGGAGCCCTAGATGAGCGCCCTGGTCCTGCTCTCTGCTTGCAGCTCCTTCAGGCCACATGGCCATGGTCAAGAGTCTGCAGGGTCTGGACCCCAGCCACAGGATAAGCGACCGGGACTACGTGGGCTGGATGGACTTTGGCCGGCGCAGTGCAGAGGAGGAGTATGAGTACCCCGCGTACCCCGCGTAGAGGCCGGCAGGAAGCCGCATCCCACGCGCCGTCTCCGTGTGACACCAAGAATCTGTGTTCGTTCTTGTGTGAGTGACCTGCCTGTCAGGCTGTCTTGTGCCACCCCGGGCCTGAGATGTTGCTATGCTATTAAAGTGATTTTACTCGGTGCCTCCTTCTGTGTGTCTGCTGGGGAGAGGAGCTGGGGCCCCATGGCCCCAGGTGGCCAAGGGAAGGTGCCTTCTGCAACCAACTCCAGGGCCATCCTGGCCGCCTGACCCCTCTTCTGCCAACCCCACTACCCCCGGGTTTCTTTGGGGTTCTCCCAGTCTTTAAGTGAGCTTTATAGGGCAGTGCCATGCCAGGCTTTTTCTTTCCCCCTGCAGTCCTGGGGATTGAATCTAGAGCCTTTGTACTGAACTAAACTCAGCCTTTTGAAAACTTTATTATTTTGAGACAAGGTCTCACTAAGTTGCCCCAACTGGGCTGGAACTTGTGATTCTCCTGCCTCAGCCTCCCAGAGTGCTGGGATTGCAGGCACGTGCCACCACAGCACGGGTCACCATCCTTCCTCTGTGGACAGGGCAGCAGGCTGAGAGGTAGGGTGCTGGGAACATGAGCTGTGAGGGCAAGGACAGTTCAGCGCCCAGGCTAGTGGGGCCTCCATGTACTAGCACCTCTCAGGCCCCCAGGCATCCAGTTGAGCCCTGACTGAGCCCCCACTGATGTCCTGGGCTGTGTTGTGGGAAGGGCCTGTCACAGAGAGACCCCGTGTTCCCCGGAGCATGTGGGAGCCCCGTGACCACCTGCTGAGACCGGGAAGGGCCAGGCCACAACACACGCAGAGGTGTTCTGCTGCTGGCAGAGAGGCCCTGGGGAGCTCCAGGCCCTCATCCCCAGGACGCACAACTCACAGCCCAAGAGAAGACGTGGAAAACAGCACTGGCAGATCCGCAGCAGGCCTCGAGGAGACCCCACCATGCCCAGAGCTCAGGCCTTTTCCAGCGGGGTAGGGAAGCACCGGGGAGTCCTGGGGATCCTGGGTCAGAGCAGAGCACCGAGCCCCGGTCAGGGTTCAGTGCAAGACACAGCCACTGTGCCGGTGATGCAATGTCATGGCCCTGACCTCATTTGGGTCCAACCCTGTGCTTGCCACACCTGCCTCGGACCGCTGCATCCAGCCACGTCCAGCCCAAGCCCAGATGCCAGTGGGCTCAGCACCCGTCAAAAACCTCAGTTTGATGAGTTGTGGGGGACATCACGGGTGTGTGTGCAGCTGACAGTGCGCCCGTGTGTGTGTGTGTGTCTGTGTGTACACTCGTGTGTGTTGCTAGTGTGTTGGCAGAGGGGTGGGGTTGGTGGATGTTAGGGAAGTGGTGTACAGCTCTCAAAGGTGAAGTCAGGACTCGTGCAAACATACACATGCCAAAGAGCGCACGCCTCTCCGCTAGTGCAGGGCCCAGGCCGGCGCTGCAGCCACTCAGGACCGCTGGCCTGGCATACACTGGGGATGGTCTGTCAGCCAGAGTGGAAATCAGTCCATCTGTAGGGGACGGTGCACCCCCTGTTTCACTCAGGACCGGGCCTGGCATACACTGGGGATGGTCTGTCAGCCAGAGTGGAAATCAGTCCATCTGTAGGGGACGGTGCACCCCCTGTTTCTGAAACTAGAAACACCCGCGCTCCCCGCAGCTCTCTAGAGCTCACGGTGTGAGCAGCCCCCAGTGACAGCGCCCTGTGCCTGGGTTCGCGCCACAGCCCCCAGGGAAGGGGAGCAAAGAAGCTCCTCCAGGTGCAGTAGAGACCCTGGCTGGCCGACAGCTTAGCGAGTGACCCCGCTGTTCCTCGAAGACCTGGGGACATGCGTGGCCCCCAGCACCAGGACCTCACTGCTGCTTGCAGAGCAGGGGACCCGGGCACCCACTGGGGCTTGGAGACCCAGAGCCATACAAGGAGGGGGTACAGAGCCGGCAGCGCCACCACGGGGCTCCAGGGGCCCTGGGAGTTTCCAGTCCGGGGCCTGGGTGCCGAGACTTCCGTCCTGGCTCCCTTCTCCTCTGCCTCCTCAATTCCTACCTCGGTCCTCTCCTCAGCTCCTCCTTCCTGATCTCCGGACCCCAGCAGCCGCGCCAGGCAGGCCAACACCAGCGCCTGTGCTTTGTTCTCAATCCTGATGATGAAGGCGGCTTCCAGATCCCTTCTGTGGATCTGCTGATTTAAAGGCTGAAAAACGGGATTTAGCTCAGTAATTACGCCACCTGCCTCGCCAGTGCAAGGACCCGAGTTCGATCCCCGGTACCAAAAAAAAAATTAAATAAATAAATAAAATAAAGGCTGAAAGGGAAGTGGCTGCCATTCTGTCCCCGCCCGCCTGGGCCCAGCCGCCCAGGTCACATGATGGAGCCTCGTGCCCTCTGACGTC